AAGTAAAGTGCTTACATGATCAATTTTAATGTATTCAATCTCAAAAAAACCAAACAAAAACCAAACAAAAAAAAAAACCCAACCAAACAAAAAACACCACACAAGCAAAAACCTGGGCTCTTAAATACTAATTGCTCATGAAGAGCAAAGTTTCTGAAACTCATGTATCAGTGGAGCTTACCTCGTTCAATATCATCCATGGGAGAAGATGGAAACATTTTCTCTTTTGATGGAGAGTTTTTAACGTTGTTTGGAACCTTGGTTGCATTTCGCATTTGCTGCTGTTGCTGCTCGATGCGAGACTGGACTTTACTGCTTCCTTCAGCTCTGTGTGCAAAAGGAAAAGATTTCTAATTGCTAGAGACAAGATGCAAGGAAGAAGGCAAAATACAGGGGATATGGCACAATGGAATTATTTCTCATGCCTTTCTAAATACTATAATTAGATTCTTAGGTAAGTTATTATACTGGCATAATATTGTTTATCAATGTGTTAAAATTTGTTTTTTGATACAGTGCTAATAACTTTATAACACTTTATCAGCTGATTTGTTTTTATACCTAGCTGCTCAGGATCACTTAATAATAATTCTGCTGGAAGTTATTTATATGGACTCAGCCACAGGAAAAAAAAAATTAAAAAAATCTTAGTATGAGAAAAACAAGCCATTAAAATTACTGAAGCCTGTCACAGAATTTATATATTTTTTATTTCCTAATTTACAAGTCAGAAAACAGCAGGCAAACTACTGATATTATTTCTCCCTCCAAACTCATCAGAAAAGAGTTACTATTTCTCTCAATAATGTAACAGGTTTTGGTTAACAAAAAAACAAAGTCCCATTTCTTTTGCAGTCAAGATTCGAAAGCTGTGAAGTCAGTGTGCTGAGAGAGCGGGCTTTTCACTCCTTTGAACAAGGCCAGGTACTTTCCAAAATTATGTTTTGCTAAAAATAGTAATGGGTAGTTAAGTATCTCAATTCAGGCCCATTAACAAATCGATTTTCACAGTGATTAAAGCACAATTGTTTCTCTTGTAAATCACCCACCTGGTTTTTTTCACAGTGATGTTGCTACTAAGTTTCTCTAGGCGACATTCTCCAGTGTCATGGTTGATAATTAAGATACATTCTTTTAGGTAAGGCTTCTTTGAGCCCTTGAACACAGTCACTGGTGGAGTTGAGCCCTATTAAATCAGAAGTCCAGTAAGTCTTTCTTCTTAGAAACAGCAATCCATCAGTCATGGCAAGTTCACTACAAAGGATCATTTCTAGCCTATAAAACTGTTACTGGTTCATTTAAATTAGATTCACAGTAGCCACGTCCAAAAGCAGGCGGTATTTGACTGGAATGGGATTTCACTCAGCTTAGTTTGGAACTGATTAAATGCTTATTTCCCAAGGAGAGCAGGCTCCCTGTAGGACTCCTTTCACCAAAAGGGGTTTCGGTTCCCATATCAGCAGAGCAGTAAAGCATGGCAGGTAGTAAATTTTCCCTTTCCAGTCTTTCCTGCTTTAGAACTGCACTAGAGCAATAAATACCAAGGGGAAACTTGCACTGCCAACACACACACAAAGCTTTTCTGAGTACGCAACACTCTGGGTCATCCTACAGCATATTTCCAATGTGGCCAACACACTTAAAGTTACAGTGCAGCTGCTTAACCTTTGGGTCTTCTGTAGTCTTACATTCCCAGAGCAATTGTTTTTCAACTCTGAAAATCACATGGGCAGCCCTGAAACGGCACTGAAACTTTATACCCTTCCATATTCAGGATATATACTTATGACAACAAAATAAATCACTCCCTTAGGCCCGCCACTCCTCAGCCACCCCACTCACCTCAATATTTGGCAGCGTTATTGTCACCTGTTCACCTTTGCCAACTTCAAGGTCTCCTTCACAAGACATATCGATAGATGCAGGCTTAAAGTCATCTAAATATAAAAACAAGATGGGATTATTTACAGGCTTTTCAGGCATCTTATCAATGTAGACACCATTTAATTGCAGTTGAAGTTAAAGCCTTTTAAGTTAAAGCCTCTTTTTGCTGGTGTATCACCTACTATTCCTATTATTCCCCTGAGCCTCCTCCCCTGAGCAGATTGTTCCGTAAGTCAGTACAATTCAAAGTCAAGCTGCTTTTCTCAAGATTCAGTATAAGTGTTAAAACCTTTTGGTTAAAATTAGGAAAATATTAGGTTTTAGTGGATAAAGAGGCTGAACAAGCTGTGATATATTACAAAGGATAAATCCTCACATAGTTATTTTCAGAAGAATCAATAAATAGTTCTTTAAAATGTTGATCCCAAACATGGGAGATGTAGAAAAGTGACTGAAAATGCAAAGAACAATATCAATCCTCAATATCCATTTCTGACTTTATTACAACATGTGTGTCAGAAGCTGGCCAAAACTTGGAGTTTCAGTATAGGTATTTTTGTCACAAGTGAAATTACTTCCCAATTTAATATTAGCTTCCCTTTGTCTTTTTCAACATCTAAAGTACTGGTTAAAATAAGTTTTAAAGAAAAGAAGGTATCCATTTCCGATCCTTTTAAAAAACGTGACACATGAAAAACAAGCAGCTCTGCCTCAGCACGGCAGCTCTGTTACATACCATAATACTACAAAGTATTATTTCCACCACAAATGAATTGGGAAGGGTTACAGTCAAAAGGCTGCCTGCGCTGATCTAGGGAGACGGGGTGGCAACAAAGAAGCTTTACGAGGCCTGTGGTAACATCTGTGGGGTTGAACCCGCGGCTCCAGGTACCGCAGGGCTGGAGGGATGCCGGTGTCCTGCCCCGCACACGGATCGAGGCGTGGAGGGCCCCCGTCAGCCCATTCTCCGCTCCCCGCCCGTGGCTCGGCACACGCTCCTCGCCTCGCAACCTGCCCCGTCTGGCGCTGCTGGTCACCCGCGGCGGCGGCACTCCCGTGGCTGGGGAGCTTCCCAGTTCCACAGCTCGGCCTGCAGCCACGGGCCAGGCGGCACAGACCACAGCTGGGAAGCGCGGCTCCAGCCTGCACACCAGCCGGGCAGGAAAACCAGGCTGCAGGAGCCGGTGGGCAGGACCGTGCGCGCAGCAGGAGGCTCGGAGCTGGCACACAGGTAATAGCCCCTGCTAACCTTCTGCAGGGCAAACCCCCACGTGTTGCCTCACAGGGACAAGCGTAGAGCAGTTGCAAAGTTTCTCATCAAATCAGAGAATGTTTGCTTTATTTAGTACACGGCCACTGGACTGTTAATACCTAAGAAAATTAAGGTACTGATACTTCCGATCTTAACTTCTAAACAGCTGTTGTCCTCCCTTTTTTTGTTAATATAAACGTCAGGCGTCCAAGGATATTTCTGCATGTGCTTTTGATAGAACTGGTGAACGTGCCAGTTTCTATGTCTCATTTGTTGGAAAGGAAGAGAGATTTCAAAACAGATTTCAGAACAAATCATCAAATTACAAGAGTCAGCAAGAAACTGTAGGGATAGGAGGTACCAGATGTGGTGGTTAGTCCTCTTTAAAATTAGGGCAAATTTCAAGCTGCAGCATTTGTTTAAATCCATTTATAGCTTTCCCCCCTCACCTCCACTTCCACAGTCACAGACAATCCTCCCTAAATGCCGTTCCCTTTGCTCACAAGGAGCACATTGCCCCTCTCTCACACAGGACACTCTCCGGAGAACACACGCGGGACTGAATCTTGGGGATCAGTCTATAAATAACCAGACAACAAAACCAGAAGCAGCAGTCCTAAATTACCAGGACTATAATCCTGAGAGCATTTGTTTCCTAGCTACCCTCAGAATCTTTGAGCACACACCTCTCTAGATAGTAATTATGTACTCAGGGAGGTGCACTGGCTCCGTGATTAACGCTGCCTGCCTGTAACCTTTGATTGCTGAATTGTACGGAACTTCTGAAAACTCGGCGCAAGGGAAGAGGGCTGAGCCAGAGCTTCAGCTCAGCTCGGCTACCAGCAGAACCGCAGGGAGACACTATGGACAAGGCATGGAAAGCGAAGTCAGTGCCCAGAGGGTGGCGAGGGGCAGCTCCGCGATACAATGGCCGTTCATGCCCCGGCACCGACTAAAACCTGCACCGCACCGATCCCGAAACCGGCACCGCACGGCGCTCAGCTCCCGGCTGCACCCCAGAATCAAGGGGTGAAGGCAGCCACCGGGCCGGCAAGGCCAGGCCAGGCCGCGGCCACCCCTGCCCCTCAGGGCACTGCGGGGACAAACAGCCGGGCCCCCCTCCCCGGCCCCCTGAGGGGCTGCCCCAGCACTCACAGCGGACGGTGTGGAAGGCGCAGCGCGGCTGCTTCTCGAAGCTCTCTCCCAGGTTCAGCACCCGCGCCTTGGGGTCGTAGAGCGACGGGACCGCTCCGTTCATCGCGGCAGCGCCTCACACCATGGCGGGCCCCGAGGCCGCCGCCGCAGCCCGCACCGAGCATCCCTCACACCGCCGGGCCCGCAGGCCCCGCCCACCCCGCCTCCGATAGGCCGCCGCCGCCACAGCCCCGCCCTACCTGAGCTCGGATTGGACAGCGCGTGCGCCCCTCTGTAGATCTCCACCAATGGTGCTGCCGGCCGCACCGGCCCGCACGCGGATATGCAAATGACCCCCTCCTCCCTCAGCGGGGAGCGCTGGTTGGCGGAGAGCGGCCGCGACCACGCAGCTGTGCGCGGAGGGGGGGGGGGCGGGGGAGCAGTTGCGTTGGAAACGGCGGCTCGGGCGTTCCGACTCCCCCCTTTCTCCCTCGCAGTGAGGGAGCCCCCGCGCGGCGGTGAGAGGGGCCGGGGGCGCGCGGGGGTCCCCTCAGAGCTCCCCAGGGGGCCCCGCGGTGCGGGCGCTTTGCGGCTCCGGCGCCGCCGCTCCCGGGAGCCGGGGGGGCTCCCGGGTGGCGTCGGTGGGAGAGGGCACCTGTCCCTCGCTCTCTCGCCCCCTCCCCCTGCCGAGGCTGAGGTGCGGCCGCGCTCGGGGCCGCCCGGCCGGAGCCCCGGGCTGCCGGCAGAGCCGGTCCGGCCGCCCGCGGCCTCGGGAAGCAGCGCGGTCGGGTCTCCCTCCATATTTGTTTCCTTCCCCAGGGGCAGACGGCCGGCCCGAGGCTTCCAGCCGGTGGTGCAGGAGCTGGAGGTGGGATGGAGGTAGTGGCATAAGGACCCCGCGCCAGCACCGACACAATTAGAGAGAAAAGAGGCTGGAATCGCGGGTGGTGTGCGCCTGTGGTCGCTCGCCATGGCAGCTGCGGACCCCCAGGTCCTGGCCTTGGCTGCTCAGGTCGCTGAGAGCGGGGAACAGGACATCCCCCTGCTGCTGCTGAAGTTAAAGGGTAATTAATGCCTCTCCTAAAATAAAAGGATGGGCTGGTGCGCTATGGACAGTCCTCCTCTCTTCTGCCTCCTTAAAGACTGAAGGTTTTTCTGAACATTTCTGGCTTGGCTGGAGACTCTGTAAGGTTAACAATGCAGCTTTTCCTGAGAGTGGCATTGAGTGGCGTTTGGCTCGGCAACAATAGAGCAGGAGCTGGGGAGCAAATGGACAGGAGTTTTTCCTGCCTCTCAGCTGTCACCCCGATGATGTGGGCCCTTGTCCTGCTGATACGGGCAGGGGTCAAATCATCTCTCCCAGTGCTTTTGGGCAGAGCGCCAGAGTGGTCCGCAGCATTCAGTGTTTAAGTCTTAAGACAGAAGCTTAATCATGAGCTCCTGTGTGACTCCCCTGCCTTCTCTCCTGCCACACAGCCACTGCTCTTAGGAATGGCTGGAACAAGTCGGGTCCTGTTCTAAATTGGGATGTAATTATAAGGAAGCTATATGTTTCCCAGCGGTTGTGGTTTTATGTGGCCCAGGAAATTCATACAAATGGGCCATATCCCAGGTAATGCATGTTTTGCTACTAAATGTGTAGAGAGAAAATGGAAACCTAAGTTTAGGTATCCTTCCCAATTGTCATATAATCTTACAAATGGATTGTAGCTGTAGGAGCAAAAAATGCTGACAAAATACTTTATGAAGTTGTTAGCACTCTTACAATTACTTTAATCTATGTGCATATACTCTCCTTATGTTTTAGTAAAAGAAAAAAAGATCTTGCACATCAGAATCTTACGCTCCTCTTTGTCTCTCTCCTGCTTTCTTCCCACAGGAATTTTAAGTAGCCCTTCCTTGGGATGTGAAGAATCAAAAAAAATTAAGCAAGATATATATGATTACGGTCTTACTCAGTACTGCTTGCTGGTCCTTAGGCAAGACCACTCTCGACTGCGGGGAGGCTGGGCTACTGCTGCCCAGCTAGCAGAGATACTAAGGTAAAAAAAAAAAAAAAAAGCTAAGAAGTTTTCCTCTAGTTTTCTTTCGGTCCTTTCATCTTGCTCTTTTTCTTTTCAAGCTGCAGTCATTGGCTCACATCCAGAACAAGGCTCGTTGTTCAGAAAAGGCCAGGGTTAAAGTGCAGGGAGCAGTCAAGAGCGGAGGGGTCAGGCATAGCCTAATTAGTCCTGTTTAATTCATTTGCATTGTGTGTCATTGAGCTGGGTAAACTGTGTGGTGGGAACAGGGTTTGTGTTGGCTTTACCTTTTTTTTTTTTTTGTGGACAGTACTCATCAGTGCAACAGTTCTTATACAGTAATTGCTGGTTTTGAATTGTACCTATTTAAAAAGGTTTCTTTGCTTAATTTCATCTTGAAAAAATCTTCAACCTGATTGACTCACAGCTTACTGTGGCTATATTTAAATGTCTGTTTAATATAGCTATTTTAAGTACCTATTTACATTTTTAAATATAATAGATGACAGGGTTCATATAAACTAGATAACCCCGTGTAGTGATATTGTGAGGATGGCGCTCTTAAATTTAATTCATAGTTAGTAAATAAGAAAACTTTAAACTCAAATCTGCAGTGATCAATCTCAATTTTAAATGCCAGGAAAAATAAGACATTTTCAATTTTTCCCAAGTTGTATGTGGTTCTGGCTTAACTAGGGAGCAAAATTCTAGGGCATGAAGTATTAAGCAGCCATCTCTTATTTATACCATATCTGCAGTATGAATTTTTAATGTGAGGAATTTCAGTAAGAGAATGCAAGATTTATCACCAGAGTAGAGTGATACTTAAATCATCCCCTGTAAACTATTTCAGTTTGCAGACAATACTGAAATTTATTCTAGCTGTAAAATTGTCCTTTTGTAACTGGGTGAATCTTAGCTTCATGCCTAGAATTTGCTTCCAAGAGCCTTGGTAAACAAAGCTTTACATGTGTGCTTTCCTAAAAAGCTAACAAATCCTCGATAAAATGTCAGAAAGCAAAATTTGTAAAAAATAAGGGAGACTCTTTTGTTGCACTGGTATCTGTGCCGAGCGCAGAATTGAAAACCTTCCCAGTTGTAAAACGTGCAGTTTCTTGTAAAAAGTCTTCCAAAAACAACCGACGTGTTTGCGGTGAGTAAAATAAGAGCTGAGATCTGAGGAACTGATTTCTAGCCCACATGTCTTCCTCAGCTAGAAAAAAGTTGTAGTCAGGCTTGCTGAAGGTCTTGTGATAAGTAATAGGGGGTTTTATATGTATTTTCGTTGCCTGATGTGCACGCCCTTCAGATCAGTCTTCCTTTATCAATTTTTTGTTTGCCTGTCTATTTTTTTTTTTTTTTTTTTTTTCTTCTTCATGACCATCAGAGCCCTTCCCTAGCATACGGAACAAGCCTGAACAGATCCTTTGAAGCCAAAGGAGAAAGTGCCTTGGTTATGTTTTAAACTGAGAAATGCCATAATAAGTAGTAGGATGGTCTCCAGCCTGCCGGTGATTCCTCTTCCTTTGGAAGCAGCCACCTTGGAGCCAGTCACAGCAGTGAGCTGTTGTTCCGTGGTGAATTGTCCCATGCCAGTGAAGCATTTCTTCTCCGATGACGTGACATTCATTCAAAGCTGTTCAAACAGGCCTTTGACTATTCAGGTTGATGGTATTCCTTTTTTTTTTCCATTTCAGTCATTGTTGTGTAGGGCTAGAGATGAAAGAAGATCCTGAAGAATTTTACAAGAAGTTTCTTCCTTCAGCTGTAGACAACCTGCTGGTCTTGGGAAAACGCTTGCAAGTGCGATTTATCCGAGCAATCAAGGTATTTAAATTTCACAGTTAAAAGAGCAGAGAACCTCTGTAAACTTTCCAAGGTCACATATTGGATAAGTAGGATATTATTCTAGGGACATTATATTATAAAAATTTATTTTCCAGAAAGCACAGTAGTTTTTCTTATGCCTTGGACCTTTGAAACTGAAATCTGTCATGGGGCAGCATTTGGTCCACGACTTACGCAAAGCCTATGGTATCAAAGACAAACTTTGTTACCATAGGCCTGTTTAGAAAGTTTGGCTACTACTTTTCACAAGTTTTAAAGGTAGAGGGAAGGATTGCAGTTATAAACAGGATTGAAGAGGGAGAGCAGTAGAAGAGGGGGGAAAAAAGCCTTACAAAGGCAGCATCCCAGTCACGGTAGTGTCTTAACTTTGCATATCATTAGGTCACCCTTTGTAACAACTCAGTTCCCACTGCTTTTATTCAGCTTTACAAAAAATGGTTTAGGAAGTCTTAAGATTTTAAATCAGATTTGTTGAAGTTTGTTTTGCAATACAATTTCTACTGTAAAATTGGCAGAAAAATTCCAAGAATGCTCCCTGCTTCTGATCTTACACATTGGGAATCCTAAAGGCAGATTTTGTGAATTTTTAAATTTAAACACTCTCACATTTCTCCCTCCTCTTTGCAGAGAGGAAGGGTTTTGTCCAGTTAGGTTCCCTCATGCTTCTGAAGCATTCTGAGTTCCAGAATCAGAAGAGAAAAGCTCAACAAATGAAACCCATGAGTAATTTAAATAACCAACCTCATGGATTCTCACAGTTTCTTTTAATATCCCCGTTTCCCCATATTATCTCATTTTTTAGCTCACTGGCTTCTTGCACTTAGTCAAAGTTTTCCTGCAAAGTATTCTGATAGACACCACAAACAATCAATTCTCAGAAAGCATCAGTAACATCTTTTCTGTTAGGCCGATACTTGAGAAGTGCATTTACTGCTTAAGAAGGAAGCTTCCTGAAAGACATCCCAGGAGACTCAAGTCTTATCCGCAATATGTAATTTCCCCCACACTTTCTTATTATGTCTCAGCCTACATGCTACTTGAGTCATGCTTGTGGGCAAAGATTTCTTTTGAATGCAAATGCAGTCTTCATTATAATTAGTACTTTGTCTTTTAAACTTTGTGGTCTCAGAGGTGACTGGGCACCCAGACTTGGTGCTTGCTCAGTGGAATTTTGGAAATCCCACTGTGCCAGTGGAGATTCGTAGTTTGTTCTGCCCTCATTTGCTTTTTGTACAAGTCTTTGAAGTTGAGGGAAGTACTGACATAGCTTTCAGAAACTGTCATATTGCCAAAACACAGAACAGATAATATTACAGCTTAGTTTATCACTGTTATTTTGTAGCTCTTGTTGTCAGTAAGAAAGTTAAACCTTGACTTACAGCTGGGATTTACAGCACAGATCTAGGGACTAGGCTTTCCATAGTTTGATTTGTGGCGGCTCAAGTAACATGGGAGATACCAGGCCATGTGTTTTATAACAACATTTGTCAGCAATGTAGTACTATCAAAAGCTCCTTTACTGTCCCCCCCGCCCCAAGATTCTAGATTTCCAGTGGCCTGTGGCTCACACCTGGAATACAGACTCTGGACTGTACATCTGTGTGTGCATTCACATGTTAAAACCTGAATTCCTTCTGGTCATGGCAGAGTCTGGAGCACCTCTTCTGTGAGGAGAGTCTGAGAGAGATGGGAGGTTGTTCAGCTTGAAGAAATCCCCAAGGAGACCTTATATCACCTCCCAGTACCTAAAGGGGCTACAGGAAAGCTGGAAAGGGACTTTTTACAGGGGCATGCAGTGACAGGACAAGGGGTGATGGCTGTGACACTGAATGAGGGAAATTTGCATTAGATATTGGGAAGAAATTATGTACTGTCAGGGTGGTAAAACGCTGGAACAAGTTGCCCAGGGAATCTGTGGATGCCCAGTCCCTGGAAGTGTTCAGGGCTGGGTTGGATGGGACTCTGAGCAATCTGGTCTAGTGGAAGGTGTCCCAGCCCATGGCAAGGGAGTTGGAACGAGGGGATCTTTAAGGTCCCTTCCATCCCAACCACTCTGCGATCGATTCTATGTTGTTTTCCAGTCCAGTGTTATCACAGGCAGACACATAATGTCTCTCTCTGTTTGGCAAAGGGATCAGATTTCAACTTAATAGTGGTTTGGTGTTTGCTCCCAGATCTCCAAATCTGAGGTGCTTCTGAAGCTTCATTAGACCAGTTTTTTGGGAATCTTTTCCATTTTAACTGTGTCCTTGGCCACTTTGTACCTTTTTTTCCCCTCTTCTTTAATCTTAAGTGATGTATTTCCCATTTTGTGCGTTAAGTCTGTGATGTATTTTTACTGAGCTATTATTTGTCTTCTTATCCCTCCTATGCTATCAAATATTTTTGAAGAAGTAAACAAGACTTCTTTCTCCTTGTTATAAATTTTTCACAAATTAATGCTTTTACTTTTTTAGTAGTTAAGGTCTTATTGATTGATCTCTGCCCTCAAAGAACTCACAACTTGGGGTTTTTAATGACTCGTTCCTACAGTTTCACTGGCCTCATTTGGGAATTTGGTGGAGTTTTGGCCTCCAAATTCCTGAGGCATACAAAGCTTCCCACTACATCAAACTGAAGTCCTTAGTGAAGATACATACACGTTTTTACCTGCTTCTCTTTTGTTTAGGATAAAGAAAAACAAGATTTTTTACACTGGTTCCAAACAGTAACCGATGCCATCTGCTGGCTGTTCGGTGGGCACATTCAACTGGCAGCGTGTGGTAAGGGAAATGTCAACCTATAAAACACCTGAACGTTTATTTATGGCAACTACAGGTATCCAGAATCACTCCTAAGCTAATCTCCACCTAGTCTTCTAAATTGGAGCAGATGGTAAATCAATCCCTTAAAGTATTCAGCTCAACAGCAATATCTAAAATGGAAAAGATCCATTAAAGGGAAATACTCAAGAGTTTGCCTTCTAATCTCCCAGAGACAAACATTAGAAGTGCCTTCCTGTAATTTCCCACTGTAATTCTATTCCCTTAAAATTAATTTTTTTTCTCAATAAGAGACAGTTGATCTTTTACTGTGTGTCATGAAAATATGCAGAAATTTGACCAGAGTACATTGCTGGCCCTGAGGAGTGGTTAGAGTTGGAAACAGATTTCTGAAGTTGTTGCCATACCAGGAAACTTTACGAACACCTAACAAACTTCACTATACATGTCTGACGAAAATAAGCTTTCAATTAAAACATTGTTAATCACGCTGATTTTAAAAAGCAGAATTTGGTTTTATTTCTAGTATAGAACAAAAACATAAGGATCATAAGATGTATAACTAAAAACACACAAGGTCAGAAAAATTACTGAATATGTAGACAGTGATACACTGGGATAAAAAAGATGGTGCTTTAATTACATCAATGGGCTTGGATTAAATAACCTGGTATAACCAACTGTCAAGGTTGAAGTCCTTATCTTTTTTGGATATTGTTGCCCCAGTGATAATTCTGCTGTTGTAATAAGAAACTGGTACTAGTGTAACATAAAAGGTTTTGAAGCCTCTATTCCATTGCAACATCAGGGCCTGAGGGATATCCAAAGGCAGAAAAAACAGGGTTCGTCATGTTTTTTGGATCTTGAAGTAGTTTACTTCTTTCAGTAAGTTTCAGTGTAAAAATTATAAACGAGGGAGTTTGTTCCAGAAACAGTATCTGGTTTTACTTGCTATGGCTTGTGTTCCATAATGAAGTTTATTTGTTTATTGGTGTTTCCATGTCTGGTTCTGATTGCATAATTTCTTGTTTGCTTGTTTTTGGTTTTTTGCAGTACTGCAAAATGATCGCTTCCTGCAGTTGTTAATAACAGATGATGTTGAAACAGCAGTTATAATGATGGCTGTTTTACACAATATTTTGAGGATCAATAGGTCAGTTGTTTTTCATATAATTATTTTTCTTAATTATAAATTTTAAACTCAGTTCAGTAGTGCTGGGTAAAATAAAACTTCTTCATGTACAAGAATTGTTGTGTTTTGTTGGTTTGGATTTTTCCCCCTAGCCTTTGTTGTAGAAATAAAAAAAATAAAATAAAAAAAAATCTGGCTTTTTTAACTGGTTAAATTGAGGGAATGGGAATTAGTTGATTGAAACAGTAGCACTACCTGGATCAAGTTGCTGGCTCAGCTAGCTGGGCATGTTGGCTTGCTATATGGCCTGACATATCTAAAAATAATCACTGTTAAAAAGCTCATGCTTTTTAATTAACACTTCTGTTCCCCTTTCCCTTTTTTTCCCCTTTCTTCTCTTTCAAGTTCTGTCTTCCTTCAAGTTGATAAAGCGACCCTTCACTCTATTTTGGATGAGCTTGTTTATAAGCTTTCATCTACCACCAATCCTGCTGTTGGAAGTGCTGCCACAAAACTGCTGTTGGTGGTGGCAAAATTGAGCAAACAGCTTGTGCAGTTACTCACAGCTCGCTACAAAGGTTTGTAAACATACATGGGACCCATTGCTCAGCCCTCTGCAAGGAGTTAAGTCACTGTAAGAATATAAAGATGGAGGTTTCCCATCTTGGTTCAATAACTATCCAGTACAGGTGGAAACTGCAGTGCTGTGTTGCTTTGGGGGCTTTTTCCCCCTTCTCTTCTGTTCATTTTTGTTGTAGCTTAAGACACTGTGCCTCTTTCTGTTTCCTAGATTTATTTTATTCTGTGGACTCTGCATGTGGTAACTTGTCTTTTAAACCTGTTGTTTGTCACTTCCAACTTGATGGGCTTTACTTCTTCCTGTTTCCCTGTGCAGGTTGGTTGCTGAGGGATCCCAGTAGCAGGGTGTCTGTACTGCCACAGTCAGAGCCTTGGGTCAGACATCTGTCACTGTGCTTAAGTTTTACTCAAAGTGAATTCTGACCCTGGGTGTTACAGGTCTGCTCATCTGATAGATGCTGTTCTGTTATTGAGGAGCTGACTGTCTTTTGATATCCAAGTAATTGGAATGAATTCTTTCCAAGAATTCATGAAATGAGTTTATCATTTTGTTTAGATGAGGAGGCTGCATATATGTATAATCTACTCTGTTATTCATTCTGTAATAAGGTGTCCCATTCAGTGTTTCTGTCTCTAGCCTGGCAGGGACTTCCAGGAAGCCCTTTTGTCCTCTGTCATGCCTATGGTGACTGAGGAAGAGGCTTTGGTGTTTGTCAGGTGTTTTATGTTTATTGATCAAAACTACTCACAAGCAACCTCAATCCTTTGGGGACAAGGACAATAAGAAATGGGATTAATAGACAAAAATGTTCAATTCCAGTTTTTTACACTTGTGCTGACTACTTATTAGGCAGTACCAGCCAGGTAGATTTCTGGACCAGATGGGCAGCTTTGCCACCCTTTTGCTTGAGAGGGGAGGGCTTCCTTTTGGTTTGAAATTAAGTATAGTGAGCCTAAGGCTGGTATCATGTTGTGGATCCTCGTGAAGATGTTGTGATGGTCTGATCATCCCAGCTCTAGAATGCTGGCTTGTCTGAAGAGGTGCAAGCCTTCATCAAAAGATTGTGCTTTGTTTTGCTCTAGAATCACGATATGCCACAGTCATTTAGAAACTCTTCATATCTCTTCTGTATGTTTCCTCTTTTCACTAAGAAAAAAAGAAATTGCTTTTTTCCTCTCCTTTTTTTAAAAGTTAGAATCCTTATGTTAGTTTTCACTCAGGTTTGAAATCCTTTAGGATAGTTTGAGGAATAACAGCAACAATTAAAGCATCACAGCATTTCCACCATCTGGCCGTCTCACTGAAGTCACTTGGCTTCACAGTGGCTTGGAGCCATTGCCAGTGTCAGGTGCTTCGGTGTAAGCTTTGCCAGTGGAAGCAGCCTGCCCAAGGTGAGGGCATCACCTGAACCCAGGACTAGCACAGTCTTTACATCAGGTTTCCAGGAGGGCCTGGTCTTTTTGTCTGCACAGGTTGACATGTCTGAGAGGCAAACGCTGGGAACTCCCTGTCAGTGGCTGAAAGGGCTGTGTAGTCTGTACAGAGACTGGCAAATGGTTGTGTCAGATCCACAGCACTTCTGCGAGAGAGCTGCCTTGTGTAGCCAGACTACCTGCTTTTGTAGGGCTCTGACAGCCTTAGGGCACCCACTGACTCCATGTAGAATCTCCCCTGTGTCTCTCCTGAAGGGTATAACTGTCATCATCTTTCGAAAATCATGCATGGGGTGCCACAGAGGTGCCATTTCTGTTTGCATGGAGGACTTGGTGCTCCATATCCAGATCCTGTAAGTATATATGAGCTCTGGAGTTGCCTACTATATGAATATGCTTACAATGATTTGAAGATAGAAAAGTTATTTGAATCTGCAGTTCTTCAGGAGGCTGTCCAAACATGTGCCTGCTTCCTGCCCTCTTTCCTCTTCCCTGCAACTCCCCAAAGAGCTCTTAGGCTCTGAGATTTGTCTGATACAAAGCTTTTAGCATGTGTTATTGTCTACTTGCACAAGGGAGTGTGTGTGTGCTGTGTGGGAAGCATAAGTGTGATTTTTAGCTACTGCAAACCAAAAAAGCTACTCTGTCTCATAGACTGGATGCACATGTGCTCACAGTTAGACTGTGTTATGCAGATAAGACATCAAACAATTCCAGTTATAAATAAATAAATTTTATTATGAAAAATATGAAAATAGTGCTAATAACCCCTGCACTTTTGTGGTGCTTTACATTCTTTTAGTACCTTACAATGACTTACTGTTAAGACACTGAAAGTACACTGATAATTTAACTGCCTGTTATGTTGACACAATACTTATTCAGACATACAAAATCACTGGATAATACTTCTCTGTGATGGTTGGAGCACCAGATATTCTTTGATAATATTCTGTGTTGAAACTCAAAGGTGGCTGATGGTGTTCAGCTGTAGTGTTCCTTTGCACATAGAATCAGATTTTGTTTGTTGACTCCAGTTCGTTACTTTGAAATCCTGAAAAGAAAAATTCACCTGCTGGTATCACATGCTGTTTCACTTTCCCTTAGGATTAAAAGGGCTTTTAAATAAACAGTGGACTGGCAAAGGATTTGACAGGGAGCTCAATCAGCTCTTGGACGTGCTGTATTTGGAACAATCCAGTGGAAAAGAAGAAATGCAGGTGACGAAGTTTGATTAGATTTTTGTGTGTGAAATCCTAGTTTTATGGGATTTGTATATGTTTAGAATGGATTTGCTCTATCATGTCCATGACACTTTGCAAAACCTATGTTATTTTTTCACTATAGATTTTTAAATTTCATATTTATTTTTTTCCTTTTTTTGAAAACATCAAGAAATTGCTCATTAATAAGATAGGAGACTGTGACTCTAGAGACTGACTTTCTGTATAGATTCACCATAGATTTCAATACAACCGTAGGGGGAAAAGAAATGATTCTTTTGCTAATCATAAAATAAAAACAACCATGTCTGCTTTTCTCACATCAGTGTTACAGATTTAGATCTCTGAATTCTAGGCAGCATTCACAGAGAATTAAGTCATACAGAGAAAATATGCAGTGAGAGCACCACCTGGGCTGTGTTCCCAATAAAAGGGACGACGTGTGTTTTATGAGCTTCTTAAAAAAATTTTACATAGACAATACTTTAAAGAAATCAGAGTTGTGTTTGTAGAGATCTGCTTTCGTCTTCAACAGAGCAAGGTGTTTCGTGTTTGGGTTGGTTTGTGCAGTTTTTTTTTAAAATCCATTTAAGAATAGAATTAATTTTTTTTTTCATGTTTGCATTTCAGTGACTTCTGATTATACTGCAAATGTAACATTTTTCCTGCTGCTAATTCTCCAGACTTGTCTTTCTGTCCTCTCTAGAGCAGGTGTTTTGATTGAATCACCATTTGAAATACTAAGTGCTTCAGGTGTTTTAAAGACAAATTTCTAACATTGATTATATATGTGTTTGTGCTGTAGAGCCATTTGTTCACCACAGAAAGCATCAATACAGGTGATCAGATGAGCTGCCTTTGGGGCAAATATGGAGTTCATGATAATAACTGTCTTACAAGACCTTAAGTTCCCCAAGCTGTACAAATACTGAATTTGATGCGTTTGAAAACTGATAGGTTTTAGCCAAATGTTGAGATTGTCCAATTATGCAAGCAGTAATTAAGTGTTTTTATATGCATAGAAAATATTCTACCAACTCTTTTATTTCAGAAGCAGCATCAAGCAGCTTGTATAATCCAGGCTGCGTGGAGGGGATTTCAGACAAGGAAAAGGCTGAAAAAGCTACCCCAAGCAGTGACCACGTTACAGAGAAGCTTCAGGTAAACACTATGGCTTTGTGAAAAACAGTAAGGAGTAGAGTCTAGTGAAGGTTTGGGTTGGGTTTTCTCAGGTGACAGGAAAAATTCAGGTCGTCTAATCCAATGTCCTGTTTGAAATAGGCCCAGCCTCAAAATTGAATCTCTCTGCTCAGGGCCATATCCAGTTCTGGAGGTCTCCAAGGATGGAGATCCCACCATCTCACTTGGCTGCTCTCCTGGTGCTGGATAATTTGCCTTGTGAAGAATTCTTCCAGTACAGCCAGTGGGAATTTCCTTGTTGCACTCCTTACCCCTGCCTCTTGCCCTGTTTCTGACCACCTCCATGATCTGGCTGTGTCTGTTCTATAACACTTAGGTAGTGGAAGACAGAAATTAGATTTGCCTTCCTTTTGGCTAAATAAACCTCACCTATCCTTGCATATCCTACCTTCTGTAGCCCTGACAGTCTCTGTCTGGACTGTCTCTATCCCTCCCTTCTGTCAGTATCGTGTCTTCCGCTGGGGGTCCCAGTAGAGTGTGACAAGTATTGCAGATATGCCCTCAAGGGTGTTGAGTAAAGCCAAATCATCATCTTTGGCTGCTGCTCTGCTTATGCTACTGCAGCCCACTGTGCCCTGCAAGGGTCTGTTCCTGGCTCGTGTTCAGTCTGTAATCCCACCAGGAACCCCAGGTCCTTTTCACTGGAGCTGCTGCCCAGGTAGTCAGTGCCCAGCCTGTACTGATTCAAGGGGTTATTGTGTACCAGGTGTAGAACTTCCCATTTGAACTTCACGTGGTTTCTGTTGACCCATTTTATGTGTCTGTGGAGGTTTCTCTAAGTGCCAGCCCTGCCCTGCATGGGAGATTGTGATGGCAGCTTTGATAAAGTCAAGGACAGTGACATCCAGTGCTCTCCCCTCATCCACAGAGCCAGTCATCTCATCACAGAATGCGATCTAGCTGGTCAAACATGATTTACCTGTGATAAATCTGTGCTGGCTGTTCTCATTCACCTTCTTCTCCTTGCTGGAAATAGCTTCCTTGAGAGTTTGTTTCCATATCCCAGGCCCTCAGTTTGGGCTGACCAAGTATTCCTTCATCTTGAATGGGCCTTTTTCCAGTCAGCTGTTATTTCTAAAACATAAATGTAGTGTAATGCCAATATGAGCTGTTTCACTACAGACTCTTTTAGCAGAAACATCCAAACAATGTGCTTCTCCAGCAGTACCAAACTCCCACTTCTGGTGCCAAAATCTCCAACTGTCCCTTTCCCAGCTGCCAGATTCTCCATGAAAAAACTTAGTTCTGTGATGCTTTTATGTTTTCTATGTAAAAATTTGTGGCATATGGAAAACTGAAAGTGTGGCACACTGTAGCATGGGATTGCACTAAATAGCACTGGAAATGATGTACTGGTGTAGAACAGTTAACTGATTCACGGTTAACTTGACACAAAATTGCACTGTAAATTATATGTGAAGCTGTCCTGGAATTTCCACATGCCAGAGTGCTGCAGAAACAAAAGGCCATAGTGCTTGCTCAGTATGGTGATTGCAAGACCTTGTTCTTCATTAATTTTTGAAATCTTTGACTCTCAGAAGTGGAGTAGCTTCAGTGACCTAGATAGTATCCCCTGCCTTGGAGCAGCACAGAAGAATGAAGCTGTGTAAACACTGCTTGTCTCACTTGAAGTAAGATTTCAGCAGTAACGTTAGCACATGTTAGGCTAACTCTTTTGAGAAATTTAATCTGAATTTAATATAGGTAATGGATCTAAATCAAGTTCAAACTCCACAGTAGGGTTTTTTCCAAACCATTTTTGCACTTGTTGAGCATTAGCATGTCAAAACTATACCTAGAGATGAATGTCAAATTACATTGCATTGCGACCAAGGTGATAGAAAGCAAACATGATTTGTTGTTGTCTAGACTGGCATTAAGAAGATTGGATTATCTAAGGGGTAGTCTTTAACTTCTGGAAGATTTGCAGGGGCACATAGTGTGTTTGTTGAGGGCCACTAGTCACTGCAGCTTTTGTACTAAAGAATGACACCTTGTCACTCCCTTTTGCTTCACCATACGCTTCAAGCTAACATTCCTGCTCTCATCAGGCACCTTGCAAGCCTGCAAGCCAAACTCATAGGCCAGGAAATTTGGATGTTGGGCCAAGACATAACATGGTAAAGCAGAAGGGAGAGTGTGACGAGGCTATCAAGCAATCAACAAGCTGCTTGACTCCCTTGTGTCGTATTTTCAGTGTTGCAAGCATTAGTGTGTGCCTCTTAAGTAGTTCTTGAATCATTTAAATGGACTTTTGAAAGTGTTTGTTTAATATTGAGGGGAATGGAAACTTATTAATATCCTTAAAGTTGTGTGTTCGTGGCTCAGTCAGCCCCAGTGTACTGAACAAATACAGTAACTGTGCAGCTCCAGTGTTGGTTTTCTTCTGTCTGGGTCCAAAGTGCTGCTAGCATTATGCTGAAAAATAGTGTTTGGAATACTGTAAGCATGACTTTGGAAGAACCTTCAAGAGGACTTTTTAATTTTTAACAGTCAAGGTCTGGTTATATTCACAGATTGATTTTAGAACAAGTGTGGTTAAATACTGCAGAGGCTGAAACTCTAAACTTGGCTCACCTGCAGCTGCAGTGGAAGATCTTAAACTCTGCAAGTTATAAACTTCTGAAACTGTGGTTTCAGAAATGTCTCCCCAGTGAATATTAAAGACTGTAATCTGTCCTTGAAGTTAGTTCATTGTTATGTAGCTAATTGGAAGACTCTTAAAATGGCAAGAATTTGTGTTAATTATGCAGGAAAAATTAAACCATTTTATATATATAGAGAGAGATGATCTGAGTGAGGCAGATCTGTGCCATGAACTGCTGAAAGAAGCTTGGATCTTATTCTGTGGATGTTTTACTTCTGTTCAGAGGCATTTCTCTGTCACAGTGTGGTCTTGTGCAACCAAATGCTTCTTTTCAGTAGGAGGAACAGAGAAGAACATGTGTTTTGCAGACTACATGGGGAAGAATCAGTATCAAAGAAACATTTAAATACCTGTTAGACACTACTGGTAGTTTCACAAATGTGCATCTGAAAAGTTCATTAAATATTCGTGTAGTTTTCAACCTAGTGAAGCTGGCAAAAATCTATGGGGAAAATAATAATAGTTTTATCAAGAAAATGCCATCAAAAGTCCTTTTTGATGCTGTGACTTTATTCACCTTAGAAATGTAATATTTGGATTAAAAATGCAAAGATTTACAGCTCTAATTTGCAGAAATGTGTGGGCTGAAAACCTCTAGTTTCCTTGAAACCGTTCTGATATAATCACATGTATCATGATCTGTCTCTGTAGGTTGGTGTGTGGGCACACTTCAAGTCTGTGTTACTGTTGTAGAGAGATTATGGTGTGTCAGGTTTGTGGTGGAGGCTTTTCAGTCAGGGTCAGACCTTTAAATCCAGAGCATCCCTTTTACACAACAGCTTCCATCCCATCTTTCCCCACCCAGTTACGGAGACTGAGAGAAAGTATGGTTGATGGAAAAATTGCAACTCGGTTTACACTAGTGGTGGGAAACACATAAGTATCTCAACAGTAGTGTGAGTCTAAAGATATGACATACAGCAATACCCACATTGCTGGACATTAATTCTAGTCTACTGACTTTTTTTCTCCTTTCGGGTATCCGTTGTTCCTGTGCTCTATCCATTGGTTCTCTTTCCTAACACTTAAAATGCTTCTTTCAATGTCCCTGGAAAAGTGCTCGAGGAGAGCAGAACTCAGGGCTGTGGGCCCAGTTGGGGTACTCAGGTCTTGAGTGGGGAAGTGATTTTGCTGCAGTAGGAACAGAGAAGTCACATTCTTATCTTGTTTTGGGGTAAAGTCATAAAGTCTTAGGCATTAAGCTGCTGATGAGGTCGGATCCATTGGGATGAGAAAGGGCAGGGAAGGGAGGGGAGTCCTAGCTCACACCTCCTCTTTAATACTTCACTGAGACCATGTTGAAGTGGTCTCAGTAATTGTTAATACTGATACATGAGTATATCCAGTATTTATATATTAGTCTCTGTATTGATATGTTAGTATATATATAATTGACGTACACGCTATTTTTAGCTTGAACACTCCAGGACCAGTTGCGGAGTTTTCAGTTGTCTCATCTGTGAAACATCTGCTGAGGCTTTTCCAGTGCCAGGCACAGCAGGGCAACATCCTAACATCAAATCTAGTACAGATCAGGAAGAATTTGCAAGAAAATTCTTTCCTAGTGTTCTGTTAACAAAGTTGATGGAGAAAATGTTAGTCTGTATTTCCTGGAGAAAAAAATCCCTCCAGATTTAAGAAGTGAGGCTTGGCAGCCAACATTCTGATCTACCCTTGCAGTCAGTAGAAAAATAATAGTATATATTATGGGAAGCAGGTGCCATGCTTGCTGATGGATGGACTGGAAAAGGTGCATACTGGAGCAGATGGCTAATGTTGCTTTACCTCTTCCCTAGATGAGGGAAACAAAATTGTGTTTCCAGTTTGTGCTGGCTGTGAATGTCCCACATGGAGCATTGTTCCCTTCAGGGTCCTTAGAACTTTATCCTAAGTAAAAATTTATCCTTTGATTTCACAGGCTGGCTCAGAGTTTTTTGTGGGTGTAAGAGAGTGCGATAATTTGCAGGTGACTTTTCGCTGCTTCGTGTGGTTCTGCAGCCAACAGCTGGGGTAGCAGATTATTTTGTGCATTTCCTTTCTCTCTGCTGGACCATTTAACACAAAGAGAAAGAGAGGTACTTTAAAGAAATGTACATTTTAAGGTAATTTTTAACGTACTTATGTATTGCAGAGCTAAACGGGAACAGGAGCAGCAACACTTGGCAAAACAGAAGGAAGATGAGGCTCTAAAACTGCAAATGCAACTTCAGAGACAGAGGGCCATGAGACTCTTCCATGAACGACAGCTGGCCTTGCTGGAAAGAGTCCATGCCAGTATGATTTATATTAAACTATAGCAGAAGATTTAACTGTCTGGTACTCCTTGGGAACAGTTTCCCCAAATATATGTCCTAATCTTGCGCGTCTGTTTGCACTGTAGTCTTACTGTCTCTTCTCCTGACCCAATTATCTGAAAGAGAACATTCTAATTCCCCCAGGGCTCAGTAACCACTGATCAAGATCTGCTGCCTTCAGAATGGTGCAGGAGAAAGGGGGAGCCCGTTTTCTTGTGTTACAAAGCTCCTTTGCAGCTAAAAGTCTGCAAGACACGGCCCACACCTAGTGGACCTTGGGGAAGAGGGGTTTTTAACTGGGAGCACCCAAGCTGTTTTGGTACTATGTAGTTTGAGGATTAAGAATGTAAATTGTTAAGAGATCCTGACCCACAGTCTTGTAACTGGATTTTTGTTACATTCGTAGGTCAGGTAAATAAATACATGGAGGAAATGGAGGATAAATCAGCATTAACTATCCAGAGATTCTGGCGAGGGTATAGAGCAAGAAGAATTTTTCATCAACAGAAACAATCTCTTAAGGAGTATAAAGCAGCTGTCATCATTCAGAGAACAGTGAGTACATATACTTTGTTCCAGCATTAGATGGGACTGAGTGGATTATTGTGATGCCTCAAAAAACTGTTTATTGTCTTACTACCAATGTAGCCATAATTTATCAAAAAATGACTCAGGGGGTGATAGTCTAGAGCCACAAGTTGCTTAGAAGGGTTAAACCTTGCGTAGGTTACAAAGCCTAATAGAGTTTGGTAACTTAAAAATAAGAGCTGCTACTTCAAAACCAAAGATTGGAATGTCACCACACTACAGATGAGTCAGTGACTTATTATGAGTGTTGTTACTTACTATTTAGTGCTCATGCTGACCTTGTATGTTGTCTTTCCAGCATCATAGCTGCATTTAGGTTGTAACAATGCTGTATGGAAATATTTTTCTTTCACTGATTGATTACAAAGAAAGCGAGAAGACAAACTTCTTGTCTGTGATTGTCATATTCTCGTATGTTCTTTACAAAGGCTTGTAAATTCTTGGAAAAACGAAGAAGGAGAAGACCTCTCTCTCCTTGGAAAGAACCCAAGGGACTGACTGATGAGCAGAGACTAGCTTTGCAGCAGAAGGTGGATGACTACATCAAATTGCATCCGGTCTGTTTCTTAGTCATTTCATAATTTGCATTAATGATGCAACATAAAATACTCTAGGGATGAAATAAATTCAGCATCATAAATTCTGATCAAGATAATCCATTTGAGGTATGTGTGTGTTATCCCTGCTTGTTTGACTGCAAGGCAGCAGGATATTGGGGATTTTAACCATTAATCTAATAAAAAGTGCCAAAGCAAACTGTAATTGGAAAATTTATACACTTGATGATGGATAACTTTGGAGATAGTTGCAGAAGAAGCAAAATTATCAAGTTAACAATTAAGAACAGCATTTGCATTCCTTGTTTAGGCATTATTCTACCCTCGGAAGATTTAAAATAACCAGCTCCTAATGCTAACAAACTGTTATTTTCCTCCAGGCTTCCCAAATGTCAGAAGAAATGAGTAAAGAATTACATATGCAGGCTCAGGAAAAGCTGGCACAGTTCCTGTTGAGGAGCAGGCTGGATCAGAGAGCAGCGCAGAGGAGAGAGACATTACTGGCTCAGGTCAACACCGATGTGGAGCTGCTAATGAGTATGTGACTGCCTGGGATCATAGTTTTGATTACCATTTGGATTAAACCAATTTAGGTAGAAAATTAGAGTGAGCAGTGGTAAAGCCTCATTTCAAAACTGAAATATCTTTCTTCCTTTGCCATATGCCTTATCTTGAGACTCAGGCTTTGTTAAAGATTATCCAAGTGCTGCTGTAGGTTAAGTACACCTGCTTTTCAAGGATCATCTCATTCTTCTACAAGCAATGGGCCTGTAAAAGGCATTCACGTTTCTAAAAGGGGGATCTCACACAACCTATTTCTCTACATCTGTTTTGCTTTGTTTTGTTTTCTTGTGTTGTAAGTAAGCTACTGGTTGAAGCCCTCTAACCCCTTCCAGAGGGAAATCCTTGAGCTATGAATTCTAAATCATGTTTTCATTTTCTCTGGCCTGGCTTTATGTGAAACAGAATTCACTATCATATCATCTCAATTCCAAACAAGTGGCCCAGAGTGAAGGAGCAAGAGTAGCAAACTGCAGCCACCAGAGAGCACCCAAGCCGGGCAGAATTCAGCAAGTTACTGAATTCCATTATTTAGTCTGTCACATGCTGTGTCACTGCAGCTCATTGCTCTCTGCACAGGCAAATCAGCAACACACTCTTACACTGTGCTGGGTCCCCCAGGCAGGGAATTCTCAGTGCTGCTGTGCCAGAGCAGTGGAAACACCCTGTTGATGTCACCCTGTGCCAGGAGCACTGATACAGCAGTAGTGACCAGGAGATCCTCTTAGGTCATATTTACCCAAGAAGTCATTTTGGTGGATGCCACCACTGCATCTGTAAGAAGTAGTACTGCTTTCCCCCTTCTTTCTATCCCATTATGTATTTATTTTTTCAGATTAGCCTTTATTTGGATTGCCTCTCCAATTACATTTATCACACAGTCATAAGATTGCAATGCCAGCATGGGGAAAGGGATGACCTAGGACAGTGGGAAGTGGGAGGGTAGTGCTCCTTTTTTTGTTTGAAATACTCATAAAGCCACAAACAAAATACACGAAACTCTTCTCCTTGTTTTTACAGATGCTCCAGGATTAGCAGAGACCACAGAAAAAGATATTGGTGTCTTTGTGAGTCGATCAGTCCCTGTAGCTACCAAGGCAAGACAATCCCACAACACTATGCTGAAATACACTCAGTGGCCATGGTGGAAGAAGCTTGGAGATGAGTTTATGGAGGATGATATAATTCCTGATGAGGCCCTAAATACAGAACTGGAAACGCTCTTTATTGGTGGAAGAAAATCCTTAAAGTAAAAAGCAGAAGAATTCCATATTCAACCAGACTCATACCTTGCACTATGCACTTACTTTTTTGTATTTTTAAGGAAGGAAAACATTTGAAAAAGACTAAAAAAATACCAAAGCCTCATTTTAGTGTATTTTGCTTGGAAAAGGATTCTTAGAAAGAATCTCTTCCTGTACATCAACAGTTGGATCCTATTGATCTTGTTGCAAATAGGATTTAAATACTGTAGTTGTAAATGAGGATATTTTCTGATTTGTATCACTTTAAAGGTAAGTTCATAACCTTTGTCTTTTCAGTTCTTATTCACACTGGGATGCCTAAAAAATCAGGACATTGTAAAAGCCTGGGCTTTTATAGCAAAATATTTTTATCAGGTGATGTGCTTTGAAATAAAGATGGGTTCAGAACAAAACAAGAAAGCAATACAAAATCAAACAAACAATAGGCAGCCTGGGCGCTTTCTCTGTATTTCTCCCAGGCTACCTGTCCTTGCTTCCACCTTCTGTAAGCTCCCTCTTGTTTGAGTTTGTGCAGAAGTTTCATTTTCATCCATGAAGGCCTCATGGTGTTTTTATCTGACTTGCTTCCTGTTGGTATACATTGCTCCTGAGCTTGGAGAAGAAGGTGATCCTTTAATATTAACCAGCTTTCTTGGGCCCATCTTCCCTCCAGGGCTTTATTCCATGTTACTCTACCAAGCAGGTCCCTCCAGAGGTCAGTCTGCTCTCCTGAAGTCGAGGGTAGTGAGCTTGCTGTGCACCCCATTGCCAGCCTTGGGATCTTGAACTCCACCATTTCATGGTCACTGCAGCCGAGGCAGCCCTTGAGCTTCACATTCCTCACCAGCTCCTCCCTGTTGGTGAGAACAAGCTACAGCCCTGCACCTCTCCTTGTTGTGTCCTCTACCTCTTGGAGAAGGAAGTTATCATCAATGCATTTGGGAACCTCCTGGATTGCCTGTCCCTCTAACAGGTACCAGAGTGGTTTAAGTACCCCATGAGGACCGGGGCTTGTGAATGTGAGGCTGTTCCTATCTGTCTGTAGAGGGATTCACCAGCTTGGTTTTCCTATTGGGGCAGCCTGTAGCAGACCACCACTATAATGTCACCAGTCCCTGCCCTCCCTTTAATCCTGACCCGTAAACTCTGTCAGCTCCTCATCCATCTCCAGAGCAAGCTCCATGCACTCCAGCTGGTCACTGACATAGAAGGCAACAACCCCACCTCATCTCCCCTGCCTGTCCTTCCTAGAGAGCCTTTGTCCTTCCATTCCAAGAGTCCAGTCAGAGAAGCCATCCCTCCTTTCTCTGTGATGTCAGTAAGATCACAGCCCTGCAGGTGTGTATATCTCTATATACACTCCTCTTCTTTATTCCCCATGCTGTGTGCGTTTGCACAGGGACATTGGAGCTGGGTCCCTGGTGAGACTTGATTTACTGGCTGGAGTGGCTGCAATTCCTTTGTGCTGCTCTTCAGGTGCTCTTCTGCCCACTTGTGATCCCTCTCCAGACTCTAGGCTTCTCTTGCTGGCTCTGGCATCAAACTGGTACAAGTGGGATGGATGGAGGTTCCTCTCCCCTGGCAATTGTAGTTTAAAACCCTCTTCACCAGCTGGGCAAGCCTGTGACTGAGGATGCTCTGCCCGAGGGACCCATGAGCCCCCAGCAGCCCAGGTTCCTTGAGACTCACAGGTCACCAGTGCTCCCTTGGGCTGCTTTTTTCCTTTAAAAGCCTGCAGTTCTTCCCACAGCCAGTGCAGTGCATGGGAGCATGGGCACAGTCCAAACTCTTACGTGGGATTGTAGCCTCACTGTGACCATCTGGACCATCAGCTCTGTCTTCTTAAACCATGCAGAAGTTGTTTAATCCAGAAAGGTCGCCAGCCCAGGGCCTCTGCAGTTGCTGTGGCCCAGAAGACAGTAAACACCTCCAGTCAGGGGCCAAAGGATCCTGCCCAGAACAAGAACTTGAGACTGGCACTAGTGCCACAGGTACCTGTGCTATTTTTCAGGTGAAAGGCTCAGAGAGCCTTAAAAATTAGATTTTACCTCACTACGGAGGAGGAAAAAGTGCTGTGATTTCTGCTGGTTGTATGTGGGCAGCAATATTGTTTCAGCATGTTTGTTTTCCATTCTCTCTAGAAGGCTTTGAGTTTTAATTTTAGTGGAGATGAATGGAAAACAAAAAATAGAAATAGTGGGCAGAAGCCCAAGCCCATTCAGTTGCAGCTGATACGTTGAAATTAATAACTGGATAGCTGCCAGGAGGAAGAGCTGGGCTCTGTTAATTTTTTAAAAAGAACTGTGATTTGGAATGCACTTGAATTGGCTCACAATTCCTTTTTTGGAGAGTTAACTGGTGGAACAATCCATGAGGTGTTTGCTAGGGCACTTGCATGTGTCTGTTGAGTTACATTTTGTTCTGCACAGCTCTGCTGTTAGTTTTAAGCCGTGCCTATGACAGGTCAGGTGCCCCATAACCACCAGAGCAGAGGGTCTGCGGGCAGTCACCGAGCGCTCCAGGGGATGGAAACTGTCCTCCAGCAGCTGCCAAGCTCTGGCACTGGAAGAGGCCCAGCATCTCTGGATGGATGCACTGCAGCAGACCAGCTGTTCCATCCTAAATACCTCAGTCCTCTGTATACATCGTCATGCCTTCTGCCCCAAACTATTTTGACAGCAGCCTCTGCTGTTATGTTTATTCCTAATCACGTCATTCTAACAGCTCCTTAGAGCAGGGAGATGGTCACAAAGGGGCTTTGCTGAATGTATCTTACAAAAAGAGCTGACACCCCCCCCCATGGCCAGTGTTAAATACCAAGTGAATTAGAGAGCCATCTTACCAAAAAGCCATTTATTGGAATGGCCTCTGCCACTCACTGCCACTGGAGTGGATAATGAAGTCCCCCTTTGGAATATGCAATTTGCTAGAAAATTAGGGGTTTTAAGCAAACAGAGAGCCTAGTAGAAGGTGCTGTCTTGTTGGAGGAAATAAAGTTGCTGGTCCAGCAACATGAATTCCTCTGCCCTACCACTGCACTGACAAAAATGCTTTATTTTACTTTGTGCTTGTCACCAGGATGGTGCAGTCACCTCCATTTTACAGACCAGGGAAACTGAGGCACGAGAGCCATGAGGGAACGTTCCTATGGCCATATGTAACTGTATAACCTGTCACTTGTTCCTGTTACTGTTCCAGGCAGAGCAAGCCAGAAAGGAGCCACTAAATGCTGAGGCAGAGCTGGGAGATGTTCTCAAATGCCAGTTGCTGTGGCCAGCTTGGAGCCTGGGCCCAGAAAAAGAGACCTCCAGGCTCCCTTGCTGGGAGGGATTTGGCATAGCTTAACTCATCGTCTTTTCAAGTCCTGCACCATGTGCACCAGAGGCAGGACATGTTGCTGGCATTTTATTTCACTGCATCTCTTTCTGGAATGAAGTACGCCTGAATAACGGGAACAACTGAACAGAAGCCATCTCCAGCTTGCTACCAGGTGAACAATCCTCTCTGGGTTATACAGTCACCCAAAAGAAAGGACTGTAGGAGAGGCTGTGAGCTGAGATGGGACCAGTCCTGCTCCCACTTCCCTGTGTGCCACAGGCATGCCCAGAAAGCTTGGAGCTGTTACTTGGGCATAAACATGCAGCACAGGTGGTCATGCCAGGTAGGAAAACGGGGCAGAGTTTGCTTGCGCCCAGCAGGTCTGGGCTGTGCCCCACTGGGAAGTGAGCAGGCCTTCCCCAGCAGGCTGAAGACAGACCCTGGTCACCCAGGGGAAGTGTGGGGATGCCCTCCACACGAGGGGAGTGACACACCTGAGGGCACCTGTGACAAGGGAAGGGGCAGAGGTGAAGCTGGAGCTGCTCAGGCAGTGGTCACTCAGGTCCTTAAATACTGATGGCCATCTCATCTGGCCTGTGGGGGTGATTCAGCTGAATTGCGGGTTTCTGTTGCTGTGACAAATTGGACCAATTTATCATATAGTTTTGTTTCTTCCCTCCCTTAAGTAAAGCTATACAGGTGTTATTGCTTCAGCTTCAGCAGCAGCAGACAATCTGGAAAACAAAATCCTCTGGTGGATGTGGATAAAACGGAAGGGACAGTGACTGTTCTTCTGCCAAAGGCGCCGCCAAAGTCATGGAGCTGGAAGAAGGCAGCAAAGGAACAAAACAAACAAGCAAAGAATTACTCAGCCCTTTCAGAGACGGAGACAAGGCAGTGTCCTCTGCTGGCTCCTGAAATTGAGGAAAATTCCTGTTTATGCAGACAGATATATTTTTTTTTTCAGCTGTAGCTGTAACTGGACTCTGCAAACAACAGGATGCTCATCTCCAGCAGAGACACAGGCATGCGCTCAAGACTGTGCTGCTGAGTCCAAGGGCGTCTCCTGGCCTTTGAGACTGGCTGTAACAGGAGCTCTGAGCTGAGGACAGGAGACAACCCTGATGCTATTTCACCCCTCGCCTCTGAGTCTTCTATGGCCGATTTCCATGGGAGCAGAATCTGGTACAAGCATCTGCTCTCCACTGCAGCGTATCACATATATCGAGTACAGGGAGAAATGAAAGCTTTCTCCTAGTAGCAGAATCAGGGCTATTTATAAATTATACTTCATCATAAAAGGAGGCAGATCTTTGCAGGGGGAGCTGCCAAGACCATTGCAAAACAGGCCTCCAAGTTCTTATCCTTCTTTACAGCACAATAGCACCAGGTTAATCTCCAGGCATCCTTGTGCACAGTGAAGAACCCTTTAGTAAAGAGATTGTTTACTACATGAGTGCTATAAGGGCCCAGACTGACCAAGGGGAACTGAAGGACAGTTGCCTCCCATCCCTTCTCCCCTGCTCTCCCTGAAGGTAGGGCTGGGTTTACTCCAGGTGCTGTCTGGGGACAGAATGACAAAGTCTGGCAGGTGAAGACCAAGGTCAGGACACCGCAGCTCTGGCAATTTTTCCCAGTTGTGCTGGAGAACTCCTTTGTGACCTTGAGCACACATTGTTTCTCTCTTTTCCTCTCTCAGATGAGGCTTACTGTTGCATTTGTAATTTAAGGGCCTTCAGTGGAGGAAATCTCTGAATGGGAGATACTAAGCTGAAATGGGAGTTTGACAGGCCCTGGAAAGAAAAAATATTTGTATAATCAGATATTGAGCACACAGAAAGAGCTCAAGGTTGCCATACTCTTTATTTCTCTCCACATTCAACTTCTCTCTGCAGAATTTAGTTCTTCTCTACTTACATCCTCAAACAGAAGCAATGTCTTTACCTGTGCTGGATCTCTTAATAAAACCAATGAACACAAGCAATTCTGATCTCCTTTTAACATGTCTCACCAATGCAGAACCTGCCTGTTCAGAACGAGATGAACACTCACACATATGAACAAGCTGGGTAAAAAGACCCAGCTCACTCTAGCATCACACGATAGAGGCAGTGAACTGCAGCACTTAATCCTAGAAACAATCAAAGCAACCATTAATTTGCTGAGTCCTTACTGACTGAAAGGGAGGAGGCGTTCAAGCTGTCATTGTCACTCGTATAATGAATGGTCAATTAAAATAGTTGCAAATGCAGGGTACAACTCATTCCTGTGCCCAGGAACAGGGATAAACAGAGGCATTACCACTGCCTTGGCTTTATTCTCAGAGCAGCTCCCCCTTTTCCTGCGAGACTGCCCGTCACGTGTGAGAGCCTGTGGAGGCTGATGCAGGAAGATAGTCAGGAAAGTCACCAGAGCCGTGCGCGCTGCAGGACAAAAGAACGCGCGATCTGTGACCGGAGATAGGGACTCCCGAGGTGGCCAGTCTAAGGAAAAGCTACCGGACATGGAAAATGAGGGATCTCAAGCACTGTAAGAAGAAGCCAGGGGCTCACCCAAGCCCGGCTCGGAACTGCCCGGCACGGAACTGCCCGGCACGCTGGGGAAGGAGGGGCGCAGGGCTGGGGAGGAGGGCGGGCGCCCAGAGCCCAGCGCCCTAAAGGCGAGCCTGCGGGGCCGCCTCCTCCCGTCACCGCGGGAACCCCCAGCCCCGTCCCCTCAGCACTGCCCGCCCCCGGCACCCGGGGAGCCCCGCTCGGTCCCCTCAGCGCCGCCCGCCCCGGCACCCGGGGAGCCCCGCTCGGTCCCCTCAGCGCCGCCCGCCCCGGCACCCGGGGAGCCCCGCTCGGCCCCCTCAGCCCCTTTCGGGGCGGGGCCCGGGCCGGTGCCTCTCGCGCGCCGCGCCCGCCGTTGCCGTGGCGACGGGCTAAGCCGGGCCCGGGCGCGGAGGGGCCGGGCCGGAGCCGACCCGCGGCTCGGCGCTGCCGGGGCGGGCATGCACAACAAAGGCGGCGGGAGACGCGTCCCGGGCGGGCTCCGCAGGTAGGTGGGTGCGGGCGGGCAGGTCCCTCTCGGCAGCCGCTCTCGCAGGACGTGTCCCCACGGCCGCGCTGTGAGGGGAGAGCGAGCGCGGGGCGAGGTCCATCCTCAGCCCCGGCCCCGCCGCACCTTGCGGGCGCGGGGGCTGCAACAAAGGCAAATGGCTGCGGTGCGGGAGGGCTGCGGGGCCGGCGGGGGTCTCCTGCCCCCCCGCCCAGGGCGGCTCACGGGGGGCTTTACGGTTCATCTGTGCGCCGGGTCTCATTGCCCGGGTCCGGCGGGGCCGCTCGGGTCGCACCGGCAGCTCCGCGCCCAGCGCGGGCAGCAAGAGCCGAGGGGGGGATACAGAGTTGCTTCCCCGACCCTTCCACCCTCCCCAGGCAGATACCTGCTCGTTTAGGGGGTCCCGCACGCTGCCCCCGCACCCCGCAGTCCCCGCTCCCCGCCCACAGCGGCGGCTCCGCCGGCCCTAGCGCTGGGTCCGGGCGAGCCCGAACGCTCTTCCCGCGTCCTAAAACTGCACCCGCAGGCACAGACAGCTTTGCAACCGGCAGGATAGAGCCTTTGAGGTGCCTGGGTTTGTTTTTTTTTTTTAAATTTTGCTGTGCAAGGTGGGGTATCGTGTGCTGGGCACGGTACTAGCCTGAGTTCAGTCGCTGTGAGGGGTGGCTGGGCAGCACCAAGCTCTTTACATCTGCAGGGTCCGAGTGAGTCATTTCTTAATTCGTTTCCATGTGATTCATTAGGCTTTCAACTCCAGGATGCATTTTCCCCAATTCGTGATAGGTTTTGATACCTGAGGTGTTAGCAAGGGCATCTGTTTGAATCCGTAGAGGTAGAAGTTTTACTGCATTATTGAAAACAGAATTCCCTGGAGGAAAATCTATAAAACCTACTCCTACCATTTTCATTTACACTGCAGCACAGCAATGCTGGGCGCATCTACACTTTTGCCTTCCCTCATTTTCCAGTCATTGTGGCACTGAAAAGCATTTTAAACAACTCTATGTTGTTTGTTGGTATTATAGTAAGGCCTGAGGGCTTGGTAATGGGTTTTTTTCACTCTCAGAATGCTTCACAGACATCAATTAAGACTGGGAGCACTGGTGCAAGTCAGGAAGGTTTTATTGATCCCATTTTACAGATGACAGAGCAGATCACAGACCTAGAAAGATTTAAGTCAAATCCAGAACCTAAGCCATCATCTCACAGATGCTCTGTTTAAGGTGCTCTTCTCCACCTCCTTTAACAAAATTCTCTCCTAATTTTACTGACTGCTCCAGGAGCTGTTTTGGGCACTGTCAGGTCACGTATGCTCTGGGATTTTGAGATACTGCTCTTGCATATTGCTGAAAATTATGTGTCTTTAGTGCCGTACCGTTGAGAAGAATGGTTTCTGATTAAAACAGGTCGCTCTTCTTTGGTTTATACTGAGGTAGAACCCAAGAGCTCCATCATGGACAAGGTTGCATCAGGCAAGGCACTCTGCAGCCCATCAGCAAAGCGTGCACAGAGCTGATGAGCCAAATACAGAAAGCCTGGGTGTCTGCTGTGATTTCTTTGATAGCCTCCCTCAGAAAGAGAGATGGTCTCTCCACACTAAGACTCTCGAAAGGGTATATTTCCAAAAGCAAAATAAGTGGTTCCTGTTGTGACTATAGCTGTGAAGACTCCCAATACTAGCCTGTTAGCCTGTTTTTGAGTTTGTCCACTTGCTTTCATGGCCCAGACAGGAGGTGGGCTGTGTTTAAGATGTGGTTCACATCCTTAGGCATTGCTTATGTTGATCTCCTTTAAGGCCTTTAACCAGAGAACCCCAGCTGCAGTCTCAGATTTAAGGCTTGCCCTTAAGAGAGCGCTGCACAAGACAACATTAGCCCCAAAGCATTTATAAAGTTTTAAGCTTCTTAAACTTCATCTGTGTAAGAAAAGCCTACTGCAGACTAGGTGATGATGTATAGCCCCCGGTAGCTGCAGAGGAAAGGAGCAGATTGAATGCTTTTAGGGCTTTTCTGAGTTTAATATTCATTTGTTGCTTGCTGAGTCTGATTTAGTCTAAAAAGGTGTTCTGGAAATCCTGGCTTCTAAATATTTAAGTTTCAAGGAGATCAAGTTCCACTTTTATTACACCCCCCCCAACCAAACAACTACCCCCAACCTCAAACACCTGGCGCTGCAGGTGCAAGAAGTGTTGTTGATTACTGGCAGGCAAAATACGGTATCGCAGTTTGTTTCCTTTGCAGTGTTTCAGAGGACAGTTCTTTTAGAGAGGCAGCAAGTGTAGCTCCAGGGCCTCCATGGCTGGGCATCAGCCAATTACTGTCATATCAGATTAGCTCTATGGCACATCAGCACTCATTTATGTTAATGCAAATGCAACATGACTGTTCCATAGTATTGATGGAATTATTGTGTTTACAGCCATAAAACATAACTAATTGAAATGGAGGTTCTAATTATAAAACCATGGACTTCCAAGGTGATTCCTGCTATGGCTTCTGAATGGACCAGTTTGGAACCATGAAGAATAAATGAACTGCTAAAAGACATAATCCAGTTTTTATTTTCCATTGATGCAGTTATCCTTTCAGCAAGCTCTAGGGAAAAAAAAATCCTAAAAAAAGAAACAGGAAGAACTTAATAGATTTTTTCCCACCTTGCCATGATCTTGATGCAATACAGCCCGTGCTACTGTAGCTGCTTCCTGGGCCGTGAGAAAAGCTCTAACCTGCCTGTGCCCTGCAGGAATTCAGCCCTTGAAACCAGCATGGAGATTTCCTCAGCTGCCACTGCAGTGCAGGAGCACATTCTCCTTGTCCAGAGCAGCTTGGCAGCAGCAGCCGTGGGTGTTTGTGAGATGAGGAGGCATCACATGCAGCACTCCATAGCCAGGATTGGAAACTGTACACAGTTTGATGACTTTCCTGCTCCCATGTCACCCACTGACATTCAAAGGATACGCCCATTTGTCTCTGGGAATAAACTAGGCACCTCCAGCCAAGAAACCTCAAGTTCTGCAGTCCCTGCTTCGTAATTATCCCAGCCTCAGCTTCCATCTGCTTTGCAGTTTGCAGCGGCCCTAACAGCTGGTTCCTGGCAGCCATTATCACCTTCCAGCACAGGAACAGCTTTAGCTCCGAGTCTTGGGAGGATGGACATGGCTGACAGGATCAGTGATATTAGGAAAAATAACAGAGGAGATAGAACACTGGTGCATGGGCACAGAGGGGGAAGGCAGACTGAGAACATATGTGACAGTGAGGGGAAAATGAAGTGACAGGTGGGAGGCCCTGCAAAGCCCGAGACTTCGTGGGAGTCACAGATGAGGTGGGATGAGGAGGGAGGCAGGGAGCTCTGCAGCTTGTAGGAGCAGGGTGAGGGATCTCCTCAGCTGCTGGGGATGGATTGCATTACTGCTGCCAGCCTGCAGCCCACTGCCCAGGCTTCAGAGCTGTTCAGCCAGCCCAAGCAACGCACAGGGCCATGCAGCATTTGTTATTTTCCAAACATCCCACCGTAAATTACAGCAACAAAGGGTGAGTACTCTGGGAACAGCACAGGAATGCTGGGGTCAGTAGCCTTGTCCAGAGTGCCATCCCTGCTAGGGGAGGGCCCTGGGAAAGCCCGTGGCACCACAGTAGGCACCAGCATCAGTTATATGAGGAGGAGCAATTTGCTGCTCAAGGACAGCAAGGACAGTGGGAAGTCTGTGATTTCAGGAATTAGTTATGGAAAGCTGGGACCCTCAGGCTGAGGTAATAAGAATAGCTGAAGAATTAGGCAATTCCCATATTCATGAGCTGACAGACTGCAGTCCCTTTGCCAAGGCTGTGTTAAATACACTGAGGGGCAAAGGAGTTTTCTGGCTTTGCTAACAGCTGCTTCAAGGTGAAAGACAAGGGGAAAATGAAAAAAAAAAATCTCCACTGTCTGCTGATATTCATTTTGCCATGAAGCATCTTGGGGCCTGGAACAACCCAGGACCCTCTGCAGACCTTTGGAACCTGTGTTTGAGACAGTTTCCTCACATTCTAGAAATAACCTCATCAGGAATTAAACAGTACTTGTCCTAAGGATTTCTCTCCAGGAAGTAAAGAAAGGTTATAAAGCTTTTGAAATCCTTCTCCATCTCCTGTCCTAGATGGGAAGTCAAGGAGCAGCAGTAATTTTTTTCTTATAAAGAAAAAAACATAGCTTTGTGTTTTTAGCCAGGGAGAGTGTCTACGCCCTTGTCTTCTCTGCTGCTGAAATGCTTAAAGATACGTGTAAGCAAAAATCCATTTTTCCTTTGGGATATGAAGCTTCAGCAGATGGTAGTGGGAGTTTACAGGCTTGGTTCTTTGTCAGTGCTTGCAGAAGCAGCCTGACACTGCACTAGCTGTGGATGCAGCGCTAGAGCTGCTCCAGTCAGACACTGGGCAGCCCATCTTGTGGCTTCCCCGGCGTCTGGGAGCAGTGCTGGCAGTACCCTGTCAGAAGTAATTTGTTTACCACACAGCAATCTGGCTGTTTCTGTAGGCATGTTTAGGAAGCCAGTTAGCAACTGAAAGATGACAGTGGCTTTGACCACAAGCAAGTGATTCGCAAGACTCAGAGTACACACAGCTGAACTTTTTATGCAAGGTTCTTGCCCCAGGAAAAAGGGAATTAAAGACCCTCAGACACTGAGCAGAGACAGCTCCGTTCAGACCCAGCACAGAAGTGTACGCATTAGTTTCTGGTGTCACAGCCCATTGGAGTTGCTGTGACAGATTTAACTGCTGGCTTTGTATCTTATTGCAAGGACAACTTGCCTACCATTCCCTCTAATCAAGTCCTTGCTTATCTTAAGGATCTTTACGTCTTGGGCATCTTGCGCAATAAACTCTGCAGAGAGGTCTAGAGGCAAAGCAGTGGTTTAGAGTTTGACCAGAGCAGAAATAGCACCAGCCTAATATCGTCCAGTACCAGGTTGGTATTGGATTGAAGCTGAGCCCCCTGGACTAACAGTACACTGGTGCCTG